CACTGGCATACAGAGAAGAAAAGGAGATTAAAATATCGTATAACTTCGTATAATGTATGCTATACGAAGTTATTACGACAGTATTGTCGGGCTCCTTCACCTCATATCCAGCTGGACATGAGTCAGCACGTCCACTGTAAACAAGTTATATAAGAGTCATGTAACCACACATGTGCTCCCATGTACTCCTTGGCTAATTGCCACTATTGCATACTTAGTATAAAAGACAATGGCTTTGATCTGCTGTCCAGCTGAGCTCATGTCCACGTAAAGCATGTCAACCTTGCCAACAGTTCCCAGAATCTTTTTCCAGTTACCTGACTCACAACCTGCACAGGATGGGGTTGGGGGTCTGTGATCCTGCCCAACAATTCCCCACAGATTACTTATAATTACAGAAAGAAAAGGGGTACTTGGCAGTGGAGCAAGTTACTGATGTTAACATCACCAGTAATGGGACAAACTGACATCAGGTGTACCCTGATGTAGATGCACTAAGAACTCAACATTACCTCTGTGGTATCCCTGCCAAAATGCACAACTGAATCAAACAATGTCAGCAATCGGTCAAACCCAAATTGATGGAATTCCATAAAAATTTTGAAGAGCCAGCTGTCCTATATCCTTTGACTTAGTAATCCCAATTCTAGGAATCTACTCCAAAGATATACCCTAAACAAAACAAAAATACACATGTAAAGTCATTAATTATAGCATTGCAGTATTTGCACTTTGCAAACTATTGAAAACTACCCAAACACCCATGTACAGCAATATTGATCAGATAAACTATGGTACCTACACACCATGGAATATAACTTACATGGAATGATTTCTGGAGATGTTAAGTGAAAAATGCAAAGTGTATAAGAGCATGTATGTGAAATAGTGAATAAGCAAATGGAAAGATGCTCAACATCACTGTCATTTTAGGAAAATGCACAGCAAAATCACAATGAGATGCCACTTCACCCTTACTAGAATTTCTATAATAAAAAAAAAAAGTCATTAAGAAATGATGGGGTAGGGAAATGGAGAACCCTCTTACATTGCTGGTGGACATGTAAAATGGCACAGCCACTGAGAAGTTAGTCAGTTTCTTAATACAGCCCAGCAATTTCATTCCTAGCTATCTACCCTAAAACAAAAATCCATGTCCATAAAAAGACTTGCCGCAAATGTCCACAAAAGCATTAGGCATCATAGCCAAAAAACTGAAAGCAACCCAAAAGTCCATCAACTACTTAATGAATGAACAAAATAAGGCATATAATGGAACACTATTCAGCATTAAGAATGCTGAGAGAAAATGCTAATATATGCTACAACATGGATGAACCTCAAATACATTATACCAAGCAAAAAAAGCCAGACTCAAATGACGACATATTGTATGATTCTTTCATATAAAGTGTCCAGAAAAGGAAAATCTATAGAGACAGAAAGTAGCTAGTAACTGCCTATAGCTGGAAATGGGAACAAAGATTAATTTTAACTTGGCATAAGTGATTTTATTAAATGTCCGAAAACTGAATTGTGGTCAGGTTGTACAACTCTGTAAACTTAGTAAAAATCACTGAACAGTACACTTAAAATGGGTAAATTCTGTGGCATTAAATTACACCTCAATAAAGTTTTTTTTTGTTTTGTTTTGTCCTTTTTGAGACTGGCCGCCCCGCGCTCAGCCAATGGGCGCTTTGAGCGCACCGGTCATCCCTATACAGGATCTGAACTCACGGCGGGAGTGCCAAGGTGCTCCCAGCGCCACACTCTCCCGAGTGTGCCACGGGCTCGGCCCTAAAGTTTTTTTTTTTAAAAAAAGGACACATATGTAAAATTTATGGTATGTAATATATGCATCAATAAAGCTGTTTTTAAAAGAGAGCATTTATGTAGGGTGACTAACCATCTCAGTTTGCCTGATTGTCCTTGTTTTAGCACTAAGTTTTGTGTCCCAAGAAGCCTCTCAGTTCTAGGCATACAGGGATGGTTGGTAGCCCTACATGTATGCTA